CCAGCCCAACCACAACTCAGCCTTTCTCCCATTCGCTCCGATGGATCCCGTTCGATTCCGACCGTTCCCATGCTAAATCTACTCCCATCCGACTCGATTCTATCCTTTCAACACCAGGTATGTTCTTCTTCTACTTTTCTTTTCTTTTCTCGGTTGAGTTTCTTTCTTGTTCTAATGACATCATCTTTTTTTCATTCTTCTTTAGCTTATTGCTCCACCCTCTCTCGGCTTAACTCCTTCCTACTATTGATTCCTTCCTTTTCACACTCCAGGTACGTTTCTCTCTCTTTCTTCTTTCTTATTTCTTCTTGATCGATTTGCTAAACTGACATCATTTCTGTCTTCTTTATCTTTTAGCTAGTGACCTCTTGCAGTTCGATCTTGGTTCTTCTCTTTCTACCCGATCCTTCTCGTAAGTTCCTTTTCGTTCTTTTAAAACAATTTTACATAATTTTACTAATTCTTAGATTCTTTGATTTCTTCTTTTGATCTTTCTTATTCTTCTGTTAACTTTCTTTTGTAAAATTTTTATATTATCATTTTAACTTTTCAATTATTTCTTTTGTTTTCTTGTCTCCTTTGTTTAGCTTTGTATGTCGTTTGTAATATGAATTGACGAGTGATTTAAGTTTGAACAATACGAAAAAAAAATTCTTTTTGAAATTGAATTTGAAAAGCGAGAGCTGTCCCACTTGAGAGTAAGAATTGCTGAGCTGAGTTCGAGATAGAGCTGAGTCCGAGATAGACAGGGAGAAGATGGATATAAAAGAAGGAGGGGAAGGCTTTTGCTTTCCACACCGGACAGTGTGTGACTATGTCGTTAAGTAACGCCAGGTGTACATCATTCAAGATTGATGGGCACCCTTGTTTGTTGTATCCAGAAGGATTGGAAACAACTCAATTGGTGGCTTGAAACAGGGCTTTCCACCTACCGATTGAGCGATCAGAAATCCGATGACCTAGGGTGTTGTTGATATCAGCAACAGAGCGTCGTGCAATGTCCATTTGAGTTGCCACAAGCTTGAGATCCTCGGAGTACTTTTTAAAAGGCATTCTTGGCAGATGTGGTTTTGTGGATGATGTGGATGATGAGTGGGAAGAGGAAGAGGGCGAGGAAAAACGGGGTTCCTTCAAGTCTCACCTCGACTGACTGACAGGTGAGTTCTTTGACATCCTTAGCGCTTCCATCCTGTCTGTTTCTGACAGGACGCACGGACCACCACCTCTTTGTTTTTTGGTCGATGTGGCAACCTTTTTGGGAACGACAGTAAAAACCCGGTTGACCCAGTTGACTTCTTGGCTGTGATCTGTCAAAAAATGTCAACTCGATACACAAGGTTACTGCCAAAAAGCAACCGGGTCAACTGGGTTTTCTTGAAACCGGGCCAACTTTGAGAACCCCTAATATTTGTCTTTCCCCAAAACAATGATTCCCAACCAAATAACTTGTTATGCCCCAGAGGCCAACCAAAGCGTACCTTTTGAAACCTATTGATCCCTTCAACCCCCTACCATACCCACCTGTCCCTGGCGAACCCACCAGTCTGATCTGCGCTTCCGATAATTCCTTTGCACATCGCCACCAGTTGAAGTAATCACCGCAATTAACCCGGCTCATGATACCCATAAGGGCCGTTGTTTTGGTAATATGCCTGTGGATAGACCTTGGCCAAGGGTCCCCCCGTGTTGTAATACTTCTGAAAGATGGAGAACTCTGCTTTGGTGATGGTGTATCTCACATGTAGCCATTCTGCAATGTGCGACTGTGTACATCTACGTATGTGATGTTTGTACATGTCCGTAGTCCGGCATAGTCTGAGAAACCAGGCTACGCTTGGCTCATCTCTTGGTGGCTCCTTATTCCATTGCCCTTTGAATTATCCGTGTTTTATTTGATCCCGTTTGATTTTGTTAACTATGTACTTGATAGTTCCTACGCCCAAAGGGTTATTTGAATTATGTGAAATCAATAAATACACTCCCCTTTACATCTCACTGCCTGTCCCAGCCTGTCCCACGAGGTCCCACATACTCAGAAACCGCCGCGCCCTGCCGGCCCTACAATGTAGTACAAATACCTCTACATAAGTAAAAACATTGATTTGTGATACCCCCCATTGCACCTCACAATGTTACTCTTGAGAGCATTCAAAGGGTTGCAGAGGCAGAGAGCCGGCTACCATTTCCCACACCCCAAGTGGGTAATACAAATGACCAAACTGGGACTGTACAAATGCTGTGATAAAAGTCATTGACCATTTGGGTCACCTCATCGAG